CTTTGTGGGAACGCTCTTAATTCTGTATTTTAGATACTTAGATTATTTTGAACTCTGTGGGAATGTACCTGTTTTTTGGGGTTTTTTTCGATAGTTTCTATCCCTAGTGATTAATCCCTAGTTTCTATATACACAGATGAACAAAGTGTGCTTAAATACAGATTGCAGTGTAGAGTTTAGATTACTGTTTTCTTCATTTTCATACAGACTAGAAGATCTTCGTTTTGTTTGCTCGAGTTTAGTTTGATTCAAGATGCCTGAATATAGAACTTGTCCATTTTTTCCTAACCACAAAGTTAGAGTAACAAGATTTTGGAATCATTTTCACAAATGCAAGTTCAACTACGTCGGCGTCCCCATGATACAGTGTCGGTACAATTCTCACCACTTCGCCAAAATACATTTAATTGCGCTTCACGAAGCTATATGTCCCGCCAAAACACCTTATTTTGTTCTACCTCCGAGAATGCACGGTGATCTTAGAGTCCCACCGTATCAGCCCAATAAAGTACCTTCATGGAGCGAAAAATGGGATGAAGAATCTAAACCTAAGTCCTAATGAGATTCTTTTAGAGGTTTCTGAAATCTCTAACTGGATAATGTAAGTTAACCATTTTTTCCTTTTATTTTTATTTATTTTTATTTATTTATTTATTTTTTTATATATTTTTTTAATTTATTTTTGTATATATATATATTTTTTTTAATTTATTATTTTTTTATATTTTTATTTTTATTTATATTTTTTCTTTTATAGGTTGGTTGTTTTTGATTGGTTATCTCGTACGGTTTTCCTTACCTTTTCTTTTTGTTTTCGTTTCAGTATTAAAGATCCAAAGGCCAAAATTATTCGCATTCCATCTGAAAAACAACCTATCTTCTGGAAAAGAATGCATAATTCCTACCTATCTAAACATTGATTCGTCCCCATCATTGAATCTGTACCGTAATGATGATGTTTTTTTTTTTTTTTGTTTTTTTTTCGGTGAAATTCTTTGGTCTCCCTTCGCTCGATGTCGTGTCTGGACATGTTGCTAGAGGTATGACGTCATAGATTCCTGCTTTTGTTATTTGTTCAACCTTCAACTATTAATCGATATGTGTGATATATAAACTTCCCATTGCTTACCCTTATTCAGTATTCAGAAATTATGGCCGGTTACTACGAATCCAGAACTATGCAATTGGAAAACGAAATAAAAGCATTTGAACGAGTTATTGAAAGAACACAGAATAAGAGTGTTGCAATGGAAAAGCAATTAGAATTGACTGAACATAGACTTCGTACAGCTAACGAACTCGCAAAATACAGAGAGACCCTTTTGGATGAATCTACGGCTGAAATTTCTAGACTAAAAAAACAAATTCCTACCGTTATGAGAATAACCAAAGAACTGCTGGACGTGAAGGATAAGAATAACCTGCTAACGGCTCAAATGAGGTCCCTACTCGGTGAGCTACATTCTAATAGGAAAAAACTCTAAAACTGATGTACGGCAAATTCGTTATCACGTTGATCAACTTAGAAACATTCTCCAACCTAAGGGTTTTGATTTCCCCGATTGCAAAACTGGTAATGTTTTTGTTGATAGCGATGTTGAAGTTGATTGTGTATTGATGGATCTAACGATCCTTTCTTACCCGCTATGGAAGAAGAAAATGAGGAAGATGATGGATTCTTGACGCAATGCAAAAACTTTGTTCATGAATTTGATTATGTTATTGTTTAGAACGTGACGTTGCTGAATGACGTCATTATCGATCCTCCTTGTTCAGACCTGTCTTAACTTTTGTATTGTTCCGAACCAAATCGATAAAACATCGTTAGCGTATAAATGAAGATAACGGTACATCTTAATAATTTTACTTGACTCTAACGGACCAGGCAGACACTCTAATAAACTGTTATAGAATGGATAGACGTGTTAACACTGAAATCTTTGAAGAAACCTCGGCTGAAAAAAGCGACTTTTTTTTTGTAAACGCTGAACACAGGTTCTTTCTTACTGAAAAGCGACAAGTTGTAGTTGAAAACTTCAGGAAACAGACATTTATTTCGATACGTGAGTTTCAACAATTTAAAGAAGGTGGAAGAAACTACCCTTCACGCAAAGGCATTAATCTTACCGTTGAAGAGTGGGAAACCCTTTTGAAACATCTGGACGAAATTAATCGTGCTCTAAAAAGATTACGCACCGAACAAAATTATTGCGGACCAAGTGAACCACTTAGGGAACAAACTGTTGAAAAAAGTGAACATAAGAAAGACTGGCTATCTTACCGCTAAACAGCAAATAAGAAAAAATGAACTACATCGACGAAGTTGAGTGTTTGGAGAGCAAGGCTTTGAACGTTTTAAAATGCAGCCTAAAAGTGCCTTGAACGTATGTCAAACCTACTGGACTCGATGGTGAAAAAACATTGTGCTGGTTGTGTTTACAATCATCCTTCTCAGATTCAACACGAACTCTGTTTAATGTCTACCGATCGTGAAAATCTTGAACGCTTTTTCCCATGTATCGTTTCCAATTTCGATGATTTTGAACTGTATTGTAATTGGTACAATCTTAACGAATCAGTGCTGAGATGCGATTCTAATACTAACCTTAAATTTAAACGAATGTTAAAAAAAATAAATCTAATAACAATTTGTTTGAACAAATTTTACAATTTCGTAATGAAGAAAAAGCGGAACGTTAGTAATTTTATCTTGAGTATGTAATTAATTTTTTTGACGTGATAATTTCTTTTGTAATTAGTTTTGGTTGAGGTTTTGTTTGAATAAATTTTCCTTAAAATATGATTATAGTTGTTTGTTTTTCATTTGTGTCGTAAACTTTGATGATGGATGATTTGTTGAAAAGTGTGTATTACGAAACTGAGAACCCTGGTAGTTTTGGTGGTGTGCAGCGTTTATATAATGAGGCACAGAAAGATGATGATGAGCTTACCAAGAAAGATGTAGAGTCATGGATGCAAAAGCAAGATACGTATACCCTTCACAAACCCATTAAACGTCGTTTTCAAAGAAACCGTGTGTTTGTTACCTCCATCGATGAACAGTTTGAAATTGACTTGGTTGATTTAACCTCCCTTAAAAAAATTAATAACGGTTACAGATTCCTTCTTACGTGCATAGATGTCCTATCTAAATTTGCATGGGCTGTTCCTATTAAAGATAAGAAAAGTGACACGGAATTGAATGCTTTAAAAAAAGATACTCAAAGATGGAAGAATCCCTATTCAAATTCATTCAGATAAAGGTTCAGAATTTCTTAATCGAAAAGTTCAAGCCTATTTAAAAAAGAAAAAAATTCATTTTTTCACTACCAATAACGAGACAAAGGCCAGCGTAGTGGAGCGTTTCAATATAACCCTAAAATCTCGCATGTGGAGATACTTTACGGCTTACAATACGAAAAAATATATAAATATATTACCAAAACTAATTCGTAGTTATAACAACTCCAAACGCAGATCGATCGGAACCACTCCGGCCTCTGTTTCCCGGGAGAACGAACACGATGTAAGCCTGAATTTAAGTTTGAGTTAGGTGATAAGGTTAGAATTAGTAAAAATAAATTAACGTTTGAAAAGGGGTACCTTCCTAACTGGACCGAAGAGATATTTATCGTTCACTAAAGACGAAAGACACCCCTTCCAACCTACAAACTGAGAGACTGGAATGACGAGGAAATACAGGGTAGTTTTTACGAAGCTGAATTGCAAAAGGTAACAAAATCGGATGACGACATATTTAAAAAAGAGAAAGTTATAAGAAAACGTAAACGAGGTGGAAAGACTGAATTCTTTGTTAAATGGTTAGGTTATCCCGCAAAATTTAACAGTTGGGTTCAGAGATTAGAGGGGTAAACATGGATTCTCAATTTTCTATTACGCTCCCCAGTAACAGCTCTTTGAATTACTTTCCCGAAAACACAGTAACCCATTACACTACTAAATT